TCAAAATTAAATAAATAAATACATACATACACACATACATACATATATATATGTATATAATATGTATGTATACATATTTTTAAATTATGTTATTGATTTCTGTTTCTGTATTTTTTTTTTTAAGAAAAATGATTTATTATTAATTTATACTTATTGTCGTTTTAATTCTTTTCAATTGAAAAAAATCGAATTCCAATGTAAGAATAATTATGTATTTTTACTACTTTGATTTGAACGTTTTAGAAATGGTTATATAGTGTATACATTATAAATATAGAATAGAAGAAAATGTGTTTTCATAAATAATGAAGTATGAAGAAAGAAAATTGATCGCATGCCACTGTCACCTGCACCATCACCGTATAACTACATAATAATATAATATAATTCTACATTAGTTTGCTTGCTCAGGCTGCATGATTGATATACACATACATATATCCTTGGACTAATCGAATCATTGGGTTTTTTTTTTTTTTTTTTTACCAACAATAAACAAAACAAAATAATATTGCAAAGATTTTTTCGTAAGTATCTTGTGTACTCTTAGAAGACATGTATTCTCTTGTAATTTTAATATTTTCTTTTTTTTTGTTTATTCGACCAATTTTTTATTACACTTTTTCTTTTTTTTTGTTTTGTAAAAAAAAAAAGAAAAAAAAACAACTTTGAACAAAAGATATGAATAATTAGCAAATGAAAAAAATTTTTTGCGATTTTTATTTTTGTCTTTTACGATTTCATTTGTAATACCTACTATACAATTAAAATTATATAATATTATGAAGATTTGATTTAAAAAAAAAAAAAAAAAAAAGATATATATTTCACATCTTTTTTTTATTTTATATTTTATATTTTATATTTCATATATATATATATATATATATATGTTATGAAATCCAAATTTGAAATTTGTCCAAATAATTTTCTATCAAATTTGTATACACAATATAAATATAGTGTAATAACACATACCCATGGATTTGAAAAATATAAATAATTTTTACATGCAAATTGATGAATTGATTAACGTTTGATAAACGTTTTTATATATATATATATACATATATATGTCTTAATAAAATATAAATAAAATGAAAAAAGAATTATCGCAATATACCGAATATTAGAAAAAAATAAAACAAAATAATAAATAAAATGAAGTCTTTTCGAAAAATATAATACACACAAAAATATGTGCTTATAAAGTTAGTACTTATAAAGGAGGAATATATATATATATATATATATATATATATAATAATGATAGTTTTTTTTTTTTTAATTTAGTTATTAAAAGGAATGTTGATGATTGTCGGAACACATACAGCACTTAGCAATGCTTACTTAGTAGAGTATCTACAATAAGTATGACACCTACACCCGAGAGTACCTATACCACACATTTATAATAAAAGAAGAAGAAAACAAAAATACAAAGTGTCACATGCACGCCCTATATATAATATATATATATATATATATAAATTAATCTGACCAATTATTTCATATAAGAAAAAAAAAAAAAAACAAACAAACAAACAAAGAAAATAAGAGAAACAAAAATTGTTGTTTTAACACTAGATTATTTATTATAACACTAGATTTACGGATGTTGATTATAATATACCAATTTTTACTGAAGTGATGACCAATTTGACTCCATATACAAGAAAATTGAAGTTTTGATTGCAAAGAAAATAATTGTAAATTAATTTAAATGAAATGTTTATTATCCAAAAAAAAAAAAATTCATGAAAAACATTTTGTTTTACATATAAACTTTGTTTTTGAAAAGACATTTTTCGCGAAACATTTCTATTACATTTAGGACAATGGTTGTTTCTACATTTGTTTTTCTTTTGCATAATTGTTAAACAACTTGACAATTGTTCAAGTGCGTCAAGGTAGCATGAATGAATTTCTGTCATTGGAATGAAAGTATACTCGAGACTTTTTCTTAAATATTGACTTCTTAGTTTGTTCAACCAATTCGAAAAATACAATCTTTTCGTGAAATATTTACTTGAGTTGTCTGTCTCTTTATACAGAATACGATTAACTGTTAAACCAATTCTATGAGTAGTCAAATTATCTCACAACCGTGAAAATAGTGGTATATCATATTTAATAATGCGAAATAAACGGGGTCGTTTGCGGGAAAGAGGAATGAACGTTTACATATATTTTATTAATTAACTAAAAACCACAAAGTATGTTTTTAAAAAGTAAGATTAAATTTATATATATATATATATATAGTGATCAAATTTTTCATGAGTTAAATTGGCTCAGTCCGCAAATCTAGTGTTAAAATTACTTGTATTATCTTTTACACTTGTAAGAAAAAGAGTTGTCTTTTTTTTTTTGTATTTTTTTTTTTTTCTCAATCATTTATAATTCGTGCAATTAATCTGTGAATCTGATTTTTTAATCTATCGATCATTTTATGTATTTATTGATATAAAATTTGAAAATATATTTTTTTGTATTACTCATAAAGATATTTGAGATATTCTATCAATTCTACTATGATTTATTATTGTTTGATATTCTTTTAATATTATTTATTAATATTAATTCAATTTTAATTTAATAATAAGAATGAAAGTAAAAAAAAGAAAAAAAAAAAATATATATATATATATATATAATATTGGATATATGAAAATGATCAGATCCACAAAATGTAAATGTTAGAATTAAAGCTCATTTCAAATGATTATCTTAAATTATTGAAAGACAATAATAAATGATTGATTAAATAAACTACTTTTATTTTATTTTTTTTTTTTTTAATTATTATTATTATTGTCTTTAACCATCGCCCGAAATAGAAAGAATTATTAATTTCTTAATTTACAGCACTCATTGTGTGTATGCGTGTGTGTAAGTAATGCAAAGCTAACACAGGCTCTACCAATTATTTATACGATTTAAAATGTATGGATTTATTAATCAAATAAACTACTTTCTTTTTTTTTTTTTTTTTTTTTAAATTTTTTTGTTGTTGTTGTTGAATTTTAATTAACGACACAATAACAAGGAATCTATGTCCCTTCCTATTGATTTTTAATTTCTGCCACGTAACCTTAGTCCATAGAATGGTTTTTATGTGTAAATAAGAATAAAAAAAATAAAAAAAATAAAAAAAAAAAATTGTCTTTATGAATATAACACTAACACTTTATGGATTAAGGCATCCAAAACCATATTTTTTTGTACTCGCAATATAGATATATACATATATATATATATATATATATATNTATATATATATATATCAATATACTTATTCGTATTTCAACAATTTTATTTAATTGATTACACATTTAAGTTGTTCTTTTTTTTTTTTTCAAGTGAATAATAAAAATATTTAACCCTTTAAGTGCAATACAATATAATTAATAAAAATGCAAACAGAAGTATCTAAAACTAATGACTACATAACACATTATGTAGGTGTAAATAGGAGGAGATATCTAACTAAGAATTTAATGATATTCCTCAAACTGACACAAGAGTATTTATTATTATTTATAAATAATTAATTTTAATAATTAAAATAATAATAATAATAATAATAATAATAATAATAATATTAACAACATCGAATAATTTGAATTAAATATTATCAAGTATATAAATATGTAGTAGTACTTCTACATTTAGTTTTAATTAACTGTAATATTATATATTTTATTTGTATATATTTAATGTAAATTAGAATTCTTCTTGCGTATGATATAATTCAAAACATTTATCGATGCAAAGGCCTACATTACATTTTTTACATTCATACCGTGTTTCCGATCTTTTCTTGTTCTTAGCGCACACGACGCATTTTCGTCTGGCATTTTTTGATTTAGCTACATTGCTATAGTATACAGAAAGAAAATGTCTTCCTGTTAATCTAAATTCATTGCTTTCAAAATTTGTACTTCCTCTGTCTAATATTGTTCTATCCTGTTGACATTTCCAGTTAATTTTTTTATTTTCAATTATATTCTCTTCTCTTATTGGTGCCATATTTGCAGGTACAACAACTACAAATTACAATGTGAAATCAGATATGTATTTCTAATAGAAATAAAATATTAACAACCGAAACTATTGTTATAAAAGAAAATTATAAATCGAAATTTATAATAAATGAATGAATAAATGAATGAATGAATGAATGAATGATATTGTATACGCTATAATCGATAAAACTCATACAGAACTTTTGACTCTAAGTACAAATATGCACTTACAGCACTCAAAGGGTTAAACAACAACAACAAGCAATTTTACATTAATATAAAATAAAAATCTCATTATTATCGATATGTATATGTTACATAATATTACATTATATATTTATATATATATATATGCAATATACGAGTACAAATTGAACGTTTTGTTGCTATACCATTTAACAGTTATCGCATTATTTAACTTATTAAAGTATTATAGATTTAATTAAACATTTGCTAAAATAAAATATTTATAATTTGTAAAAGAATATATATCTAATATGTTTTATAATTATTAGAAAAAATATGGTAGAGCAACTACGTTGTAAATGACACATTATTTTTCCTATGAGTCATACGTTATTTTTATTTAATAATTCATTAATACTACTCTTTTTTTTTTTTTTTTTTTCATTTTCTTTTGACTTACCTTCGCTGTACTACATTGCTTTCTTGTAACGTTTTTTTTTTTTTTTTTAATAATATTAGAAATTTATTTATTTTTTTTTTTTAATTAAATGGAATACTCTCTCTAAATACACATATATTTTATATACATTTTATTAAAAAAACAAACATTATGTACAAACACGGTATATTATATCTGTATGAATTATAAATATTAATTTAATAGAAATAAAAATGTTAAAATAAAAATATTATTCTCCCATATGACTCATAGAATGTTAATGTGAAATAAAATCATTCTTTTTAGGGACAATGTATGGTCCAAAAAATATAGATACAATCACTTACCCTGTACTGCTTCCTGTGCTAACCTCTCTCCTGAAGTACTGGGCTTTGATAGTAGGTGTCCTAATGAAAAAAAATAATGGCATATTATTACAAGACATAATAAATAATATAACAATTGTTTCAAATTTAAAAGACAATAAGAAAAATTGATATATATATATCAATAAAAATACTTACCAACGTCTGCCAACTGATGTTTACCATCCAAACTATCAGAAACAGAATGAGTACTAGTATAAAAAGTTTGAGTAATGTCCGGCTTTTGATCATGATCAGGTGTGTTAGATGGTGTATCTTCAATTCCAAATTTGTTCAATGAACTATCTCCTATGCTTTGTTCTTCATAACTGCAACTACTGCCATCTTGTTCCAAATATTCAGGCATTTCTAGCTTTAGATTGGGCATTAATGGAATTATTTCAACAGGATCTGAGCCAGATAGTGTTTGATTATCTGATATCTTGTTGTCAGAGTCTTTTCCAGATAATGTGCTGCTAACTGTCTTATCCGTATTAGTGTTGGTATTATCACGACATTTTCGTCTCTTAGTAGGTGGTGATCCGGTTTGTAATTCAACTGCATGATATGGCATCGGTGAAGAAGGTGATTTACTTCTTTTGGTATCGACTGTAGATTTAATAGAAGAATTCTGTAGTTGTATTTCTGGTTCGTTGGGAATTTCCAAATCATCCTGTAATATAATCACAAATATTTATGTAAATACTTCATCAAATAATTGTTGTTGTCCATTATTTTTTTTTTTATTTATGTAAGATAAGAAAATAAGTGTATTTTTTTAAATAATAAATTAATCATATTAGTACCAACCTCAACCAAACCATCTTTATCTTTCCCTGTACCATCGGTGAGACCTTGAACGGCTAACAATTCAGCTGTTGTTAGAAAGCTAGTAAGTTGCTCTTGAACAACATTAACCTCGCCTCGATACATAAAATCTACCAAGGCTGCTAGGTCATCAAATTTTACATTACGAAATATTATGACCGGATGTTGACATGGATTTTCCTGTTAGATAATAAACAGATTATATAGAAATAGATTATATATAATAAATAATATATAAAATCACGATCCCAAAAGTTTACCTTAAAAAGATCTCTGAAATATGTGCTACATGCCGATAAGAGCATTTTGTGTGCTCTGATCCGCTTGCCCTCGCAACTTAATGTAACATCAACGAGATCTTCATCTGTCCTTAACGTACCAAAAGCACAAGTAATATGTCTTAAATAATTATTCCACCTAAGAGAAAATTGTTGACTGGAACCCATTCTGTTATATCTATAAAAGTAAAAATAAAAAATAAAAAAATTAAATATTTCTTATTAAACAAAAATTTCAAATATATATATATATATGATTATTATTAAAATTTGGTTTAAATAACAAATTTAATTATACAAAATTGTATTGATCAAATTTATATACACACACATATATATATATATATGCACATATATTATCTAGCCTTTTAAAATATACACAATCATACTAATCAATCAATGATTGTCACCAACGACTAAACCAAACAAAATCCATATATGAGTAAAAGAATGATCAATGCATTTAACATTATCATATATTGAATTAACCTAAATTTTAATATTTTATAAATCCTAATAATAAAAATAAAACGCGAATACACTGAATATATAAATCTGAAATATCCATATATAGAATACACGTACGCATTGTAGGGGGTAAATTCTACTGCCATTTGTTTACGATTAAAGTTTGTAAAGATGTATATAAAAAAAAAAAAACACATGAAAAAGAATAAGACATTTTGATAGAAATATCGATAAAATTGTTGTAATGGCGTTATTTAGGCGTAAAAGTAAGTAAGAATTACAAGTATATGTATATATGTTTGGCCCTCACCTTGCCGCAAGAAATCCAGCAAGCTTCAATATGAGTGGTGGTGTGTAGGAGTAAAAAGATTGGGAGTCCTCGATATGTGGGATGCGACGTGACGGATAAAACTGTCAACTGCAGTAACTAACTTACCCCCCACCCCAATGCCAATAAATATATAATAATAGCTTAATAAAACGTTTAATCCTCGAATTTATTTAAGATTGAATGAAGAATAAAAAATGTAAACAGCGAGACAACATAGATTTTCATGGCACTGTGTTAAAGGCATCGTTCTTAATACAATACATAGGACACAACACTACTCGGCGTCGATTCTATCAAACTATTATACCGTTATATAATTTCATTACTGCTTAATATTAAACTTAAAATATTAATTATCTTTCAAACTAATTTCCCTTTTTCTATAAACACAATTTATCTATCAAATGACAGCCGGTGCCCATTTTCCAAACGGAAAACGCGTAAGATGGGCGAAAGAAGCTCCCACTTCCTACACAAGCCACGCGCGATGTGTGGGGGATCTCGATTAAACATGGCGATCGTAAGTCGATTCTCATTAGTCGAAAACTATTGGATGCTTGTTCGACCAATCAAATTATTCCTTTTTGTTTTTTTGTTTTTTGATTATTATTCAGTTATATATTCAATGATTTAATTAATATTTGAAATGTTTATTCATTTAAATAATGATAATCTATAATCTTTTTCTATATTAGATTAATTATATTTGAGGTTATATTTTAAAATTGTATTGTTTTATTTTTTTTTGGGATGATTTTTTTTTTGTTCTCTCTCTCTCTCTTTTGTTTTCTAATATATTTTATAATCTTACATGTCCACTCTATAAAGACTATTTAGTTTGGGTTTAAATAAGTATGGCAAATATGCAGAGGGCGTTATTTTTCGACGCAAACATTCATGACCTATCGAGATCCATAAGATCAAAAGTTTTTACAGCATTTATCAACATTTCAAATATTTCTACGTATATTGTTACGTATATCTTCTCACTGCCGTAGATCATGTCAAAAAGTAAAATGCAGCATCAAGTTGACAATTGTATCGTAGCTGTTAAGAGTAAGGTAATTTGATTTCTAAATATCTTCTATATAATCAACAATGGAGAGATGTTTTATATGATTCATAAATTTATTATTTAATTTTGTTTTTACATGATAAATACCGTTCCCGAAGAATAGAATTAAAAAAAAAATTCATGATTAAAAAATTATGTTAAATTTATCAAAAAATACAAGATTAATTCTAGTCGTAAGAAATCTACAAAAATAATACAATAAGACATAAGTTTTCAAAATGTTCTTCTTAGAATTTAAATCCTCGTATTAAAACAAAATCTCATGTAAAAACAGAATTGAGTGTACATGTAGACTAATAACTGAAATGAAAATAAATAGAAAGTTCTATTGTTGGTCATCAATGGTTCTTCATGTAACACACACTGTGTATTTATTAAATTTAAAGTGAACGTAATCTAACAAAATATATCAAACAAAAAGGATATACATTTATGTCATATAAATTTATTATTTTATCATTTTGTAGTTTGATGCTGACATTATAAGATTTTCAGTTAGAAGAAATGAGCCTATCAGTTATGAAGATTTTAGAAAATTATTAGCAGAACGTCACGATATTGGTCCTGAATTAAACTTTCTTATTTGGTATACGGATCCAACAGATGGAGATTTACTGCCAATTAATAATGACAACAATTTGGCCAGAGCATTACTTGCTGCAAAGCCACTTCTTAGAATATTCATACAAAGGAAAGGTAAAGCTTATTTTTTTGATAATAATATTTATCATTTTGTCATCTTTATTTTCTTTTGATTAATAAATAATAACAATTATATTTGCTAGGTGATGGATTGGAAGAAATAAATGGATATGGTACGATGAAACCAAAAAATTTAATTTCAAGTATACTCGGTGGTACTCCTGGCAAACCAAAATCCTTGGCAATATCAAATCCACATGATTTTCGGCAGGTAAGTTATATTTAATCTTACAGATATATTTTATAAATGTATAAGACAAGATTTACTGTTTTGATCAACATCAAATTTAGAAAATAATATATTGTTGTAATAATAGGTATCTGCGATCATCGATGTGGATATATTACCTGAAACTTGTCGTCGTGTTCGACTTTTAAAACATGGGTCAGATAAACCCTTGGGTTTCTATATTAAAGATGGTGAAAGTTTTCGAAAATTGCCACCATCGGCTGGAGGTGGTATTGAAAAAGTACCAGGTGTTTTCATTAGTAGATTAGTACCAGGTGGTTTAGCAGAAAGTACTGGCCTATTAGCAGTAAATGATGAAGTATTAGAAGTTAATGGAATAGAAGTTGCTGGAAAAACTCTTGATCAGGTTAATTCTAATGTTTTATCACATATCATTAATAAATCTTTTTAAAAATGTATAACATATAATCTACGATGATATAAATTGTTATGTTAATTAGGTCACAGACATGATGATTGCGAATTCCTCAAATCTCATAATAACAGTTAAACCTGCCAATCAACGAGCGGCTCTTGCTGCACCTAGGCGTGGTTCCTTCTCGCGTAATAGTCAATTATCATCAGGAAGTCATCAGTCAACGCAAAGTGCAGCTACAGGAAGTGATGAAGATGCAGATGAAATTTTAGATTTAACTGGTGTAACATTACACGATGAAGCAGCAACATCTCAACATCATCATTTCCATCAACATCATCATCACCAAAATCATTTTAATCATGATCAGGGTGTTTTGCATCTGTAGATATAAAAAGGTAAATTTTAAATTCAATTAAAGATGTTTCTAAAGATTAGCATGCATGAAATGAAAGTATTGAGGTATATACTTGTCATGAATAGAATTGTATATTTTGTGTTCTATCCTCTCTTTCTTTCTCTCTTTCTCTCTTTCTCTTAAATCTATGCATTGCCTTATATATTATATAATAATGCATTATTCATTTGATTATACATGAAAGATTAAAAAAAAAACACAATAATTCAATGAAAAATATAACATAGATAAATAATATTATTGACAATAATATGTTTTGAATATAAATTTACATATGACATATACATATATATATATATTATGATGAAACTATTGAAAAATTAAAGAAATAATCAAAGATATTTTTTACATGCAAGTATCTTTAAAAACAAACATTAAACAAAAAAATCCATTTTCTTGATTTAATACAAATCTAATTTTAATTATATATATATATATGAATAATCAAAGTGATGTGTACAAAAAATTTCTATTTTAAATTAATGAAAATAAATTCTAAGCAAGGAGCACATATATGTATATATATATATATATTTCTTATTTTGATACGTAGCAAGTAAATATTATATAATTAGCATTAGTACTTAATAAAATCCATTAGAATATAAATATACAATTAATGAATGAATACGTATATACAAACTTACAGAATAGTTTATTATTAAATATTACCATGACATATAAAAACAAAATTAAAAAGCAATAATATTCAAGTACTTATCTTTCGGCAATTATTATTACATTATAAATCTATATAAAAAAAAAAAAATAAAAAAATAAAAAATAAAAAAGTGCCTGATTACTATTAAGAAACAAAATAGATTTTGTTCACATTTTAATATAATATCTTAGAAAAAAAGATAAAATACAATTTACACATACACAAATATTTACTAATAAGAACAAGAATTGTGATATAAAAATATTAAAAGAAAAAGAAATGCATTACAAATGCAAGAATATATATATATATATATATATATATATATATTCTTACGTGTGTTCCTTAGAATTTGTTGATACTTATTAACAAAACAATTAATTGCACACACACACACACACACACACACACACACACACACACACACACACACACACACACAAATGAATTAATTAAAAAGGAATTACAAAATAATGAGAAATAAAACACAAAATATGCAATTTATTTGAAATGCATGGCACATATAATACCTCTCATATTCATGTTAATCAGTCATACAAGTATTAGAACTTAAATAATGTACTTAAAATCATTTGATACTACTTTAAAAGTAGATCATCATATGAGACAAATTTTCTTTAACTATTTAGTTTTACTAAATTATATTTTATATATCATAACTTAGATGATGCAATGAAAAAAAAGAAAAAAAAAAAAGAAAGAAAGAAAGAAAGACACTCATAAATATTGGTATTGATTGTATTGTAAATGATTTGTTTGCTTTTTAAGAATATTTTACTTGTATATAATGCAAACAAATTCAATTCAATAATTTAAATTATCATTATGCGTTAAAGAGGTCTTTATATAATAACACAATTGTAAATAATTGATTAATAACTGGTATTATAATAATAATAATAATAAAAACATACAGAGAGAGAGAGAGAGAGAGAGAGCATATTTTTAATCAGATTAGATAGATGTACTGTAACAGAGTGGCCTTACATGTAAAAATCATTCCAAATATCATTTTTTTTTTACGAGAATATATTGAATATTATGGGATATATCAATACACGCCTATTCGTGTATCTACTCTGTTTATTCTTACACAACATGTTAAAAGTGTTGAAGTTTTTGAATTTTAATTCCATTTTTATGAATGTTATTTATTATCTAATTGAGAGAGTTAAGTATGAGCTATATAATGTGTATTATAATACAATTAGTAGGAATTAAAAAAAAATTATTAAACATGGCAAATTAAGTTACTCTTGTGCATAGAAAATAATATATCATCATGTGCTCTTCCATTATTTTTTCTCATCGATATTAAAAAATAATAATAATAATAATGTGAATAGTTGTTATTATTACATTCCATTTATATTTTAGTACAATTCTGAGCACGTTATATTTCATTACTAAAAATAAAATAAAAAGAAAAGTATTCTATAGACTGGATAAAAAAAAGCAGAGAGATATTTTGTTTTCTTTTTTTTTTTTTTTTTCTTTGTTTTGTTTAAATATATAAAAATAAGAGAAATGAATCATAGTGAAAATGAAATTATATTCAGTGCTTGTTATTCAATTGTTCTTTACTATATTTAAACTTTCGCATTAAAACTATGTTTGATTTATATATATATATATATAAAGGGAACATAAGAAATATTTGTAAAACAGTTTAACCCTTTGACTCTTTGTGGTGCGCTCTTTACGCCTTTCGAGTATATTGATGATGGATTTGTGAGAACGTATATATACGCCTTTAGCAGTCAAAGTGTTCATTTTGTTATCTTATATTCCTTATACAACATTACAATATAATATAAAATGAAAGAAAAAAAATGAATCGTAGTGCAAATATTATTATGTTCTCTTTATATATATATATATATATATATATATATCTTTGCCATGGATACTCTTTTTACCGTTATATATAGTGTCGAAGGTTTAACATATCATGTATTATGCTCCAGAGAATATATATATATATATAACTTTTATTTACGTTAATTTACTACATTTATATAAATAAATAGTTTTAATTTGAATTTAAGTAAATATCTTTTAATAAATAAAAATCATGTGGGAAAAATTGTGACACGCACTTAATGGATATAGTTATTTTGTATAAAAATGATCTATTGTGCGTTAATAATGTTATACAGTGTGTCTATAGATGCAATGAGTTATTTTTCATTAAAAAAAATAAAAAAAAAAAAATAAAAAAAATAAAAAAACAAAGAGAGCAATAAAAAAGTAAAATCATTTTATTTTTCTTTTATATTATTCAAACGAAAAGTTAATGAGAAGTGGGTGTTGTAATGAGTGTAAAAATCTCGTTGCTGAATTATTCTATAAATATACTGTATATAATATCATTTATAAAGCAAGCACTTTTTGTACTTAATTAGAATATATATATAGATATATATATATATATTAAAAATGTGAAGGAGTATATAACTTGAAATATAGTCAGTATTCTGATACCATATTACTGAAAAATAGATATTAAGATTTTCATTAAACGTATTAGTCATTTTGTTATTTTTCATGAAAGTCTAATATTATCATCATTTATCAAAATTATTTTTCATAACAGGAAAAAAAAAACAAAAACTAATTTACAAAAACACAGTAAAATGATTATTACTAATTATAATATTGTAATTATTTTTAATGGCAGCTTATAATAAAATATTTTACTATAAGATTTATTAATATTATTCATCCCTATTATTTCGTTGTTAATTAAGCAGTGATTATGTTTTTCTTTTTTTTATATATATATAGTTACTATGGTGCGTAAAATAAACAATGTCACGCTTTTTTAGATTCTTATTTAACGAATCATCTTACATAATGAGAATCAGAATTAATTATCTTTTTTAAGACAAAAAGTAACATTTTTAAATAATTATAGAAGTCAATGGAGAAGAAAATATAAAAAGATTATAAATTTTAAATATTAATTCATGATAGAGGTAATAGATTATTAAGAAAAAAAAAAAAAAAAACTATGTCTTATGTAGAACATGGACCTCGTGTTTTCTTAATTGGTAGACACAATAGTAATATGCCATTAGCTTATGGTGATTATATTGTTCCACAAAAGAGATTGGAAGGTCGTTTAAAAATGTATGAATCTTGTTCAGATATTAGAGCATGGAGTTCTAATCCTTTAGAAACTTCACAATATTTTCGTGAACTTGCAGAACACACTTCTCCGGTTTGTATTGATAATCAATATTCAAATATTATTATTTATTACTTCAATATAAATTATCAAAGAATTTTGGTTTATTTATTATTATTATTATTATATTTTAAATATTTTCTTAATATTATAGTCTGGAAAAATAATACCATTTAATGTAGTTGTCGAAAACATCATAGGTCTTACTTCGCAAGCCCAAAATGAATTACAAATATTACGTAAAGAATTAAACAAATATAAATCACTTAAATTAACAACCGAACAAGAAAAATATTTACAAACTTTAGTATGTATTAATCTAATTTATTTGAATGTAACGCAAAATTTTTGTAAGAAAACTTACAGATACTTTATCATGATATATATTCTTCTATGTTTTGTTTTTGTTTTTAAAGGATAATCAAATTATCGCAGATTATCAAAAAGAAAAACAGTATAAGGACAATGGCATATTAAAAGCATCATCAAAGGAAAGCTTTAAAATGATCAATAAATCTATTTCTTTGCCACATTTAGATTCATATTTATCTATTCAATTTAATCGTGAACAAAATATTCAATATAACGATAGACATTATCATCGAGGCTTTTCATTGTTCAATCAGATAGATTCGTTATCATGCAAAGCTTCTTATTTATTGCCAAAGTTAAAATCAATATATTTTCCTATCAAAAGTAGGAACGTTGAAAGAAAGAAACATTTCAATGTGAATAATACAAATATTCTTACAAATTTAGAAGATAAATATACACAAGTTGGTAAGTCTACTACGTGAAATAATAAATTGTATATATATATATATATATATATATATATAATTCATATAAATAATTATTGAATATGTGTTAATTAATAGCATGTATAGAATGTGCTGATATATCTGTTCAAGTTATATGGGATGTGTACGAGACAGGAACACAAACTGATTGTCTAATGGAGTACACAACATCTAGCGAAACTAAAATTTCTTCGATCAGAGTATGTGTATATTTTACGTATCAATTTATTTATTAAATCGAGTCATAAATAACTTACGTTATTTATAAGACAAAGAATAGCATTTTTGCATCTAATAAGAGCAGGACACTTTTCATGGAGTTTTTTGTTGTTGTACTCTTTGTATCTGTTGGACAGTATTGTATTATACAGTTTGTATCTTTGAAGAAGAGTGCAAACATGTAACTCGGTTTTGTATCGGTTGTGAATAAATAATTGCCATTATTTAAGTTTCAACCTACGTATATTATTAATAACATGTAATTAGAAAATAAAACAATAATTATTACATTATACAGACTGAATCGCAAATATCTACGTATAAATATGATTATAGAAATAATCATGAAATTGAACGAGAAAACATAATCATTCCTGCAAATAAATATATAAGAAAAAGTTCTTATATAGAATCATATCAGATTGAGAATGAATCTGAATCTAATAGTATCAATGAAAGTGAATTTGATAATGAATTTAATGATCAATTTCATAAAGAGATTATTATTCAAAAGGATAGCGAAATAATTGCATTAAAAAATGAATTTAGTGTAAGTTATTGTTATTATCATAAAATTAGCTTTTTTTTTTTTTTTTTAATATATTATTATTAAAATGTTATTTATATAAAGCTTATCTTTTTTCTTTTTTTTTTTTTATTTAGGCAAAAGAAGCTGAAGTTGAAGAATTAGAAATTATGTTGAAGGAAAAGGATGAAACTTTGAGTACCCTTAGAAGAGGACTTCAAGTACAATTATTTGATATTTTGCTTTTTGTAAAAAAATGAAAATTTTCCTTTTAGATTGATCTAATTATTTGATATTGTAGATTTTACAAGAACGTTATATGAAATTGAATGAACAGAGAAATAATGAAATGGATGATTTGAGAAAGAAAGTAATAATAATTATTATTAAAATTATGAATAGTATTATAAAATAAATATTTATTTTTTTTAGTTATACACAAATACGTGTATAATGGAACAATTAAAAATGGAATTGAGTCAAAAGTGTGATTTATCTTTTTTACAATCACAAGAAATAGAGAAATTAAGATTACATATTAAAGATACTACTATTTTACTTGCCGAAAAAGATTCGTTAATGGTAATTAATTTGAAACGTTAAATATTGTCAAATAAATATTATTCTAAATGTTTTAATAATTACATCATATAGAAAAAGGTAAAAGAAATGGAACATCTTTCAAAAGAAGCAGAAAATTATCGACTTGCTCGTGACGAATTAAAAGAAGCTTTACGCGAGAAGGATGAATTACAAAAACAAAATTTAGAACAAAAATGTATACTTGGTGATCAAGAGGATGAAATAAAACGTCTATTGATATTAATACAACAAATGTCTAGTACTCATAATGATAAACAGGTAAATTGTTATAATCATAATGTAATAAGACTTTTTCTTCTTCTTCTTCTTTTTCTTAGAATAGAATGACAACTGTATTAGAAGAGTTACAAACTGAAGTATTAGAAAAAGATAACACAATTTTTAAATATGAAGAACAACTTCAATGTATGGAAAAAGAAATAAATAATTTCACGATTAAATTGAAAAATAGTTTAAATAATTTAGAAGAATTTAAAATCGCGTATGAGAATATTTGTAGTCGTGTAAAATGTGAACATGATACTTGTGAACGAACCAAACGTAAATTATGCATTGTAAGTGCTTTAATGGAGGAATTACAAAGATCTAAATTGGAAAATAAAGGATCTTTATACGAAATAGAAAATGTTAAGAAACATTCTAAAGAATCAATATGTAGTTCTCATTTAAATTATCATTTCATTTCATCTGATTCTAATTCAGAAGGTATATTTAATTATATACATACATATATACAGTATGTGTGCAATATAAATTATTCCAAAACACGAAAGAAACCAAAATAAAAATATATATAACTTTCATTCAACAGTCGATGAATCCAATGCAATGATGCTCAAGCAAACACAGACATCACAAAATTATTTATTAGAAAATACACAATTCAATTGGTCTGATACTGAAATAATTAATAATACGGTAATGCACGAGTATACAGATTTTGAAAATCATTCAAATAAAGATACCTCTGAACCAGATTCATGGAAATCAGCAAAAGTAATTGACTTTTTTTTTATAATTATAATTTATTAACCCCCTTTGCACTTAGCACGACTTTCAACGTTGGGTAGCAGCAACTCCGCAGAAACGGCACATTTACAGATCCTCGTATTATTTAGTATAACTTTGAAATCAAACAACGGATTCTAATAATATTGGACTTATATTAATCTGTAGATATTAAGGAACATATTTACCTTAAGAACTTTTACCAAAAGAACTTATTTACCAAGATAATGTATATGTACATTAGCATTGCAATTGAAAAAAAAACGAGTGCGTTAGATTGTATTTGAAATGTGACACTATTTGATAATATTTCTTGACATATTATAAATCTCACTGTAAAATGCGAGATATGCTCCTATAAAAAAAAAACCTTTCTTCTACAAATTTTTCTTATCACTCTTCTAAAGTTTCGCCAAAAAGTTGTCGGACCGTTGTGAACACGCATCTCGCATTCTCGAAGAACACAAAACCTGCTGACATTTCTTTTATATATCTTTGTTATTTGACTATATTTTGATTCGATGTCTTGTGCTATTTTAAGATAAAACATCAGGGAAACATGCATGTCACAAAAAATTGTGCTGAAATAACTTAATTCCCTGTAATCACTAATAAACTTTAATGTCTCATACGTTGAGACATCAGAGTGATAAATTAGTATCACGATGTCTCATACGGTGAGACAACGTAGTACAAAGGGTTAATTATACAATAAATATATCTATCAATGTATACTGTAATATATCTTGAATAATATTTAATTATAGACTGAAGTATCAATATTAACTATCAATGATAATACAAATATTGAAAATATGATAGTTGAAGAAGTATCAAGATCACTTATAAGAATGCAATTTCTTATGAAACAATTACAAGTATATGCTGAAAGAGAACGACCATCATTAATTAAACAAATCCATGATCTCTATAAGATTTTAATTGATAATAAATCAATAATCTTGAGGTCTTCAGGTAAATTTCTGTTATCTTTTAACTCAATGATTTTATAACTTATTATATGTAATTATAACTCTATAGATATAAACATTAGAAGAGAAGAAATTTATGAATTATATAATAAATATAGACAACATTATGAAAAATGTAAACCACGTAAAAATGTAACATCCTTAAACAAAGAATCACAAGAAACTTCAATTAAAAATCAATTGTTAGATCTAAGCGATGAATACATTGACAAGATTTTGACAACTCAATTGAAATGTTCTATTAATAAATTAAATGAACTATCTAAAGCTCTTAAAGGTAAATATTATTTCTATTTAAAATAATATTTAATGTATATATATATATATATATTTGTATTTAATTAATTAACAAGATGTTGAAGATGAGCGTATGAAAATGGTAACGAAAATAGCAGAAAAAGAAAAATTAATAACAGACAAAGATAATGAAATAGCTCAATTAATAGAAAAGATACGAATGGGTGAAGGTGATTACGTGAGACCGGAAAAATCAGAATGGGATTTAATTAAAGAAAATTTCAAAGCACTTGATATAGAACTCAATGAAAAAAATCAATTAATTAAAGAATTGCAAGATACACATAAATCCAATACTGTTACATTATCGGCGTATATTACAGAATGTAATGAATTAAAATTAGCTAATAAGAATCTTATGGATATTAAAAATTCATTATTAAAAGAATGTAATATAAGAAGTGACGAGTTGAAAGAAAAATGTGAAGAAATAAATCAATATATTAAACAATTAGAACATTTGGATGAAAATATTAAAATAACAAATAACATGAGAATAGAAATTGAACAAATGAAAACAAAGTTAATATTAAATATTTCAATGATTTCTTTTATATGTTTTATCTTTTGTATATATATATATATATATTATTTTATTCTTGTTTTTTTTTTTTTTTTTTTTATAGATTGGATTCATTGCAAGAAGAAAATACTAAGCTGCGAAAGAAATTAGATGATGCTAATGAAATCATTTGGGNGATGATGATGATGATGATGATGATGATGATGATGATATTGATAGCAATCTATTTTATTTCTCATTATTTATTTTTTTTTTTTTTTTTTTTTTATAGATTGGATTCATTGCAAGAAGAAAATACTAAGCTGCGAAAGAAATTAGATGATGCTAATGAAATCATTTGGGAAAATAATAAATTAATGAAAGAATTAAAAGATAAACGAGAGGATGATAAACATAATTTTGCATCGAAGCTTCTTGAATATCATACCGTGCTTGCTAAAAGAGAAAATATAATTAATAATTTAGAAAATGAAAATTCATCCATAAACGATCAATTGAAATATGCGGAGAATAAAATTGTATCATTAAATGTAACGATGAAAGAATTACACGAACAAAATAATGAAATGAAAACGTTAGACATACTTTACGATTATATTTCTAAAGTGGAAAATAATAAAACACGATTGGAATCAAAATCAACGAAGTATAAATTGGAATTATTAAATTATGAAAATAGTAATAAAGAAAATGAAAAGAGATTGGTTAATTTTAAGAAAGAAAATCAAATGATACAGAAACATATTGACATTTTAAAAGAAAAATTGTCAACAAATTTGACAGAGGAAATTGTTGTTACCAGTGACGACGATTTGAAGCACAAATTACACCATCTTTCTAATGAATTATACAATAAAATAATAAATCTTAAAAATAAATCAAATATAAACGATAATGTTAATACAAATATAAAATATCATTCAAATGAACAAAATCTTCATGATAATCCTATAGGTCAGTATTATTTCTTTGTTTTTTTTGTTTGTTTGTTTTTAATACAATTTTAACTATTTCACACAATACATATTTTATAATATATATATATAAATATATTTTTATAACAAACAAATATAGATAAAGATAATACAGAGAAACTCTTGAAAATACAAAATTTAATTCACGAAGTTGAAAATAAAAATGTAGAAATAGAAAAATTGAGAAATCGTGTCAATGATTTATCCGAAGAAAATGATAATCTTTGTAAACAACTTATGGTTTGTTTATTTATTTATATTATTTGAATTTATACATTTGAATTAAGTTTTATTATTATTATTATTTTTTTTTTTTTTTAATTAATTTATGTGCAAACTAATACAGTTTCACAAGGAAAATTATGAAAATAAATTGACAATATTAAAGAAGAAATACGACAGCAGTATAAATGCTCTTCATAAGAAACATGAAGAAAACATAGAACATTTAAAAATGAATTTTGAACAAATTAACGGTGAAAAGATTATTTTTGATTCTGAGACTTGGTTGCAGGTATAATTCATATTTTTAGCCTTTGTTTACCACCCTTCCTGGAGTACCACGCTTACCACACCTGGGTCCTTTGGACCCGAGCGAGAAAAATTGTTATAAAAAACAAACTATTGCATAGATTTACTTGAACATTTTTTTTGACACTTCTTTAATACTTACTTCAAAAGACTATATAGGTTTAATAGCTTTAAATTAAATGTAAATATGTTTAAAAAAATTTGATCAAAGTTGAGAAAATGAAGAAAAGAAAAATGACTCAAGTTGCAAAAAAGTTCTGGGGGGGGGTCCTTTGGACCAAGTGTGTGCTAAGCAAAGATTAATATTCTCATTTTTATATATTTCTATTCTGTAAATCATATAACAAAATATATTATATAATTATAGTCATTAAGTATGAAAGAATTAAGAAATGTTCACAATCGAATTTATTCATTGATGAATAAATTGGACATGAATAATGATAATATCAATCAAAAAACAATGATAAATGTTAATAATAAAGAAGACTTAAGTGAAACATTAGATGAATTAACGAATATATGTGAAAACGATAAAAAAGGTATGTTTAAACATTATAGATTATTTTGGAAAAAACAAACAAATGATTAAAATAATTACATGAATATATATATATATATTGATTTTGTATGTATAATTAAATTAATATGTAATTTAGAAGATGCATCTACAGAGATACAACATAAACAGACAAAACTGCAAGAAGACAAATTAGGAATTTTAAAAAATCATAATTTAAAGCTTACAAAAAATCATGATTCGTTTAAAACATTGATGAATTTACAGAAACATTTTGTACATGATAAGGATGAAAATAAAAGTAAAGTAAAACATTTCTTTCAAAATACTACTAAGGAAGAAACGATATCTTTTGATTCAACAACTAATCATACAAATAAATACAAAAATATCTTAAATTCAAGGTATGCTTTGCATTTATAAATAATATTAATTATTGTAATTAATGTATTTCGTGTAATTATGATTATGTATAAAATATAACGTATGTTTGAAATGTTAGATTGAATGATGATGATGATGATGATGATGATAATAATAATAAAAAATATGCAAATAAAAATGTCGAATCAAAATCGATATCATCTGTTATCAGAGCAACGAAAAAAAATACCGTAAGTTGAAATAATAATAATAATAATATACTTGTATAAAATATTTAATGTATACATTAATATTTTTTTTTTTTTTGTATATTTTAGATTGATTGGCAAAGAAATAATTTCATTTATCAATGTAGTGTACATCATAAAAAAAGTAACATTTGTTGATAAAAAGTATAAGAAGAAAAACTGAACTTTTTGAAGTGTATTTATAATACTTATATAACTTTTTAGATGAATATTTTTATTTGTTCTGTTATTGTTTATACGAATGAGATGATGATTATAATTAAAAAAAGAAACATCTTTTTTTTTTCTTTCTTTTCTAATGATAAAATGTTTGTTTAAAATGATTTTAATAAAATGTTTTATAACAGAAACAAAAACAAAAATAATAGTAGTAGTAGTAGTAGTAATTTTTCTAAATTGATCCAACATTAAAAAAGGGTTTATAATTAATTGAAAGTCGAAAAGATCGAAAGTTGTAAAATGTGTTTTAAAACATAACGAATTGTATTGTGAACAATTATTTATAATATTACAATAAATATTGAAGATATAGAGAACCATCATAGTATTATCGTACAAAATCTGTAATATATAGATGCTGCACATGATGAATTGTTTAGTAAATAAATTACTAAACGTTTCAATGGTTTCTTCTTCTTCTTTACTTTACTTTTCTTTTCTTTATTATTTTTTTAAATACTTATTTTGTATCTAAACACAGTTATCACTTCAACTACAGAAACAAATGCTCCATTATAGATAAAAACATGTAAGTATATACGTTAATATGTTGCGTGCATACAACATATAGTATGTAAAATCAGCGTTGTTGTTGAGATTAGAATTAATAACTATTATCGTTATTATGCAACTTTATGCAATAATACAAAATTTAGCGAGTATAAAAAATAGAAACATTTACTCTTATAAGCATAATAATTAATTTCAAATGAATAATATTATAATATGAAAAGCTTTCACAACTTGATATACTTATGTTTGTACTTTACTATTTCTAAGTTATACGTTTGTTTTATTTTATTTTTATTTTTATTTTATTTTCAATTTATTTTCTTCTGAGAGAAAATATTTCATTGCAGCGTATTAGTAATGTGTAATACGATATATTACACGTTTGTTAGAAAAATAAACAAAACAAAATTATTATGTATCATAAAAATGTGATATAATGATACATGTAAAAAGCGAACATAGATAGATAAATGATAAAATTCTAATTAAACTATAAATTAAAACTAGATTAGCTAAAATGGGGGTGGGGGAATATAATTACTATTGTAAAATTGTATTTATTCTCGACAAGTAGTTATTGATCATGATGATGATGATGATGATGATGATGATGATGATGATATTGATAGCAATCTATTTTATTTCTCATTATTTATTTTTTTTTTTTTTTTATAAAAACACTAAAACTATATCTTTCATCAATCAAGAATGCAAAAAAAATTCGAATGTAAAAATAATTTTGTCCACACCATTTTTGTATATAATATATAGATCTCATATAAGTAATGTTTAAACGGCATAGGATTATAATAGAAATATATATCTTCTGAATCCAAAAAAACAAACAAACAAACAAACAAACAAATTCATTTATACATACTACAAAATATACAGTATAATAATAAACTATATTAAATTTCATTCACTTATATAATTTTTAAAAAATTTTTGTTTCAACTATGATATTCAAATTATTCTTGTTAATAATAATCGCAATTATTATAAGAGTAATAATAATGGAAAGTAATTTTTTTCTTTTTTTTTTTTTTACAGAATCAATTAAAAAATTGAATTAAAAAATAGTGTATAATTAGTATAATGATTTGCATGAGTATGAAGAGTCTCTTCAAGTAAATAAAAGAGAGAAAGAGAGAGAGAGAGAGAGAGAGAGATTCATATTTTTTTTTATTGAATAAAACATTTCTCTTTTTTAATGAAAAGGTTTTCTATTGCAATAAAATGATCAATGTTATAAATGTTAATTCGCATTATATAATAATAAGCATTGATTTTGTTCTAATGTAATATGAATATAAATTCATGAATATTAAATTAATTAATTAATTAATTAATTAATTAATCTTGCTATAAAAAGGCAAAAAACAAAAGAATTTCTTTGTTATCTTTTAAATCAGAGTAAGTATATGATTGTAAAATATATTTTTAACTTACCCGCGTAGTAATTCGTTATTTTTTAAGAGCATTCACTGAAAATTGTCTCTTTTCTCCCCATATATATATAAATATATATAGATATATATATAGATATAATATATTAACTAATATTAAAAATTCAAATATTATTATTATATCCTTGCCGTGATTATAAATAAGCAACGTAGGATGTAATTAAAAAGATAAGACATTTAAAAAAAAAAAAAAATCTTAATTCGATGTAATTAATAATTTGTAATTAACGACGTCGTTCTCTGATGAATGAATGAATTGTTTTTTTGTTTTTGTTTAAATCACATTGAAAATGTGTGTAATCCAATCGAATTAACTAACACAACACTTACTCGTTGAATTTAAAAACAAACGATAAATATATATATATGTATATATGTATATATATATATTTATTTTTATTATTACTTAAAACAAATGAAAAATATTTCGACTTGTTTCTTCATTACGAATTTAAACTTAACTTCTTCATTGATTGATACGCTCAAAATTATAGATCTTGTTAAAATGTAAAAGGTTAAATGTTAATGTTAATGTTAATTCGTTAACAAAAAGTCATACTTTGTATGACTTTTGTAAAATAAAGAACTGTATAAAGTAAAGAACTTACTTATTTAAAATATCGCGTTCGTTGAAGGAGACTCGCACTTTGGATCACTCATCAATATATATATATATATATATATATATTAAGACAAAAACTTTTTACGATACGAAAAAAAAAAAATACAGATTTATAAATGTTGAGAGTGTGCTTTGTTGTTTTTTTTTTCCAAATCATTATATTCGTTCATATTCTTATAATTCTAGCTATAGTACATAAAACAAACACTAAAAATCATCATTCAATTCGAGTAATCCTATTTTAATGTATCCTTGTATATATTTACTATATATATACATATATAGTAAATTATTGTATTTTAAACGTACGCTTTTTTTACGCCTAGCTGCATACAATTTTATTTTTCCTTCATTATTTGTTGTTGTTGTTGTTGTTGTTATTGTTGATTTTTAATTTTTTTTTTCATTTTTATCTTTTTTTTTTTGTATATCTTTTTTTTCTTTAATAATATATAATATAATAATATACTATGTCGCATATAAAAAACAATTACTTAGTATAGAGTATAAGTTCGTTCCTTAGTTAAGTTTTTGTAGTATTTTTTTTTGTGTTTTTTTCTTTCTTTTTTGTCTCATATTTATTTATTTATTTATTTATTTATTTATTTATTTATATATATATATAAACGTAAGATCTCGTCCGTCTCTGAAATGAACGTGTTCCCTCGTTCCCCGAAAACTGTAAAAAAAATACGATTGGTGGATCAAAATGGTTCTAACAGCAGAACGCATTTTTTTTTTTTTTCTACTTTTGAGAAGCAGCAATGTGTGTGTGAAGGAGAACTGTCTATTTGAAAAAAAAAAAGATTTCTTATTATTTTCTTTCTTTCTTTTTCTTTCTTTCTTTCTTTCTTTCTTTCTTTCAAATTTTCTATTTTTAGGCATCAATGATAGTTAGATAGATAGATAGATAAGTTTTATTAGAAATAACGCAAAAAATATTAATAAAAAAAAAAAAGTGTAATATATATATATATATTTTTTTGTTTTGTTTTGTTTATGTTTTGTCATTCGTTTTATAATTAATCAATTGATTAATTAATAAAAATCACTTAACAAGTTGGCGCAAATGGTGACGGCTGTATAACTCTGTGTCACATTTATATTTTTTTTTAATTTATTTTGTGTTAGCCCACGAATAATACGAAAAATGTACGCTAACTATTATAATAACTGCCATCATAATTATTTTAATTTATAAATACTATTTTTTTTTTGTTTTTTCATTCAATATTTTGTAAATTTTACAAATACATATATATATCGATGATGATAATACATTTTAAATACAAATTGGTTTTTGGTTTTTTTTTTTTTCTAAAGAAGATTTAGAAATCAAAAAAAAAGAAAAAAAAAAGAAAAAAAAATATGCGTCAACGTGTTAAATGTCGCAGAGAGAGAGAGAGAGAGAGAGAAACAGACATGCGCGTGGTGGTGGTGGTGTCACACAAAAATTGTTTTACCATGAAAAGAAAATATTATCCTTTGACGAAACATTTTGTATAATGAAAAATATCGTACATATATATATATATATTTATATAAAATTTAAATAATAATAAATTTAGAATTTTTTTTTATTTTCAATTTGGCAAAACGAGTCTTGGGACATCCCTTCTTCCTGTATTATCCTAGGAAAATTTTGTTTTTAACGTAAGACAATTCTAATTTCTCAAATTGCATATCATCGTGTGTCTGTATGTGTGTGTGTTTCTGTGTGTACGCGAGTGTGTATATTCTTATTTTCTTTTTTCTTTTTTTTATCTTTCTTCTTTTTTTTCCTTTTTTTTTCTTCTTCTTCTTCTTCTTTTTCTTCTTCTTCTTCTTCTTCTTCAGACAATGATTTTTTACTAGACATTATTATTATTATTATAATATAATTTATAATTTAATGATAATATTTTTGTTTTTTGTGTTTTTTTTTTCTTTTCGTTTCCAAGTAGAATCAACAATGTATCGATCGCATATATATATATATATATACATATATATACATATATATATATATATGTATATAATAATCGGCTATCAAATCTCACAACGCACCAAGGATCAGAGAGCATTTTGTATGTTGTTATGTTATCTTTTTTCTTTTTCTTTCTTTTGTTTTTTTTTTTTTCTATAAAGAGAGTAAGAAGATAGAGATAGAGAAAAAGAGAAAGATGTTAATAGATAGATAGATAGATTGTTAAATAGAATGATCCCGGGTTTTCGACTTACTCTGCAAAAAAGTAAACCTTGTGGTCGATCAAAGTGCTGTAAGAATCTACTATTACTTATTTTTCTTTTTTTCTTTTTTTTTTTTTTTCAAAATGTAATTTTTAACGAATTTCAATTACGAATGTTAATACAATTATCTCTATCATTTTAAGAGTAATTTTAACGTTTAAGTTGCTTATTCCTGTACACCCTTTCTTTCTTTATTTATTTAATTTTATTTTTGTGATAATTATATTGCACTAATTTTCAGGAATATACAACTTGCCCAGAAATATATGAATATATAGAATAAGGATAGAAGATATATATATAT